CAGCAATTCAGCATAATTGTAAATAAGCGTACTCCAATAAATTATTTACCGATGATTTGTAACGAAATTTTAATAAATTTACAACGACATCTTTGGCTTGAAATTACAATTTCCTACAACCCTGATTCCAAGGTGCTCGTAATTTAACAAATTGGGTAAAAAAAACATCGACCGACCTCTGAAAATCGGTAAGATTAAACGGAAACCCCTTGAAAAATTACCTACGACCACGCACAGCCACTCGGATGATTCCATTGTATACCCTCCCATTACGTATTCTCACTTTTTCACCTTGCTACACCTCAACAGACAAAAAAAAAGAACTCAACCAAAGGTATATAGCTCATTATTTCGTGCAGCATCCAAGGCTAGCTCGCTCGAATATACGCGCACACACGCACGAGAGAGATTGACAGACGTAGGTCATCAGAGGGAGAGCCTTTTTTTTTCATCTCTCCTCTTCATCTCGGGGAGCTCCCGCAGTACTTCAGAGGAGCGTATTTGCTCACGAGAGAGAGAGAGAGAGAGAGAGAGAGAGAGAGAGAGAGAGAGAGAGAGAGAAAGTGAGCAGGAGGCAAAGGAGGAGAGGTGTCTCGTTACGCGGCTATGCACACTTGTGTACGCGAGTCTACACGCATTAATACGAGGTCAAAGATTTTCGGGCTCGCAGGACTTGTATATAAGCCGGGGGACCTCCTCGATACATCATCATTCGCTTCACAGGCTCTTGCAAGTCGTGACTTCTCTTTCAGAGGTAGGCACCTTTTGCCGTCTTGTGAGCGTGTTGGTTTTTTTTTCTTCGTGGCTTTTAAAATTTTTACCAACGAGAAATTTACTTGCTGAGTAATTTTTTTCGTAACGAGTGTGCGCTCTTCAAGTTTTTTGAGAAGTTTGATAATTTTTTTTTTTTTTTCCTTCAACAAGTCGTTTGAAGTCACACAAGACAACTTTTTAAAAGTCTTTTAAGGACTACCAAACTCTCTAAACGACTTTAAAGTTATTTGACCCTCCATACAATCTTTAAGAGTGTCTCAAAGTTTACGGGAAACTTTGAAAGTCTTTGAAATATTTCAGTCATTCAAGACTTTTAACGATATTGAAGTCTCTAAAAGTCTTTTAAACTCTGTAAAAGTATCTTTCTTTCTGACTTTTTTATCGAGTCTTTCAAGTGCGCAGCTCCTCGCTAGTGTTTGAATATTGACTTTACCATTTTAATTTTGCGAATCTTCAAAATTGTTTGTTTATTATTACGAATAATAAAAAAATCATTTCAATATATTGGATGAAAAATCTTTTCCCTCTATAGGAAAATAATACCGATTTTTTTTATTTTTCAGCCCTCGACAATCCCCTACAAAACCATCACCATGTACAAGCTCTTCGTGCTCGCCTGCGTGATCGCTTGCGCCTACGGTGCACCCGGCTTGGCAGTGCCATCAGCCGTAGCAGTGGCCCCGGTCGCCCACGCGGTCAGCTACCAGAACACCTACCGTGCCCCGGTGGTCAAACATGCCCCGCTCGTCGCCGTTCATCCTGCCCCCGTAGCCATCCACGCCGCTCCAGTAGCTGTCCACGCCGCTCCCGTGGCTGTTCACGCGCTGCCTGTCGCTCACCACGTACCCGTCGTCAAGAGCGTCAAGCATCAATTTTTATTTTTATAACAGATTGAGAGACCATCAAGTATCGTCATACGTAAAAAAACTCCACATTTTATGACTTTCACTCCGAAGAAGACGAATGTGTCCACCTGTTGAACACTGTACATTTACTTGTTGATGATTGCAATTGTAATAGAGTTCCTTCTATGGATAATATCTTACATCATGTGTTTAGGTTAAAATAAATTTGATTTTCCACTTTCATTACAATTTTTTGACTTTTCTTTCAACACTACACATCTCCTTCTATCCTCAACTTTGAAGACGAGTTCTTACACTCCTTGGATCCTATCGTTATATTAACTGCTGAATCCACAGTGAGTTTTGATAGTGAAATAATAAATCAAGGTATTTTTTGGGTATTTATGAATTTCGAAAACATGAATACTGTCGAAATTATCACATAAACGATATAAAATTATCGATGGTCAAGATTAATTGCTAAACTTTTAAAAACAAAGGTAATGATATTGTAAAATCATTGTACTCACGTGCCTTTGTAAAACAATAATCATCATCAGCACAAGAATAAATTTTCAAAGTTTTTCATATCGATCGACGAAAAAAAGGGTGCAAATGACAAAAGAACGAAAAAAATGCACAAGTTATTGGGAAAAATAAAACTTTTATTCAGGAAAATGTATGTTGAAAGGAAAATTAAGCAAAAAAGAGGGCGCACGCACGCTCGATCTTCTTCATCGCATTGCCGATGGTAAACAAAAAAACATCGGTAACCATAAACGTAAGAGAAAAAAACGAATGGACGAAGCAGAAGAAACCGGACGGTGCAATCGGCAGACATATCCAGCAGCAGTCAAGTAGCACAGGAGCGATCCATCTCTCTCCTCTTTACACGTCGTTAAACCCACCCGGATAATCTCGGTCTAACGAGCCGAAGCGACTCGCGGTCCAGATAACAACCGGCTGCAAAGCGAAAAAAGTCCCCTCTTCCCAGAGCCGCGTGCGCACCGGCCGACATACCGATCATCCGCTAAACGAGATAGGAGAGCTCAGTCGGTGCCGGTCTGTAGTAGGCCGTCGAGTAGGCGTAGGGCGAGGCCAGCACCGGAGCCGTGTAAGCCAAGGGATGACCGACCCCGGTGGTGTAGGCGACCGGCGAGCCGTAAGTCGCCGCCGAGTAGTACAGCGGCCCGGCCGAGCCGATCGCCAGCAGAGAGGCCAGAACGACGAGCAACAGTTTCACCATGACGACGAAGATATCCTGCGCTCTCTGCTTCGAAAAATCGTAGATGCTCCAAGAGACGAAGCGAACTGATTTTCGGAGCCCGCAGCCGAGGCTTTTATACCGATTTTTCGCAGATTAATCGTTGTTTTTACAAAAAAAAAAAAAAAAAAAACTTGGTGACGTATACTCGGGTTTTTTTTGCTCGTCCAAGCCGAATGGGATTGGTTGTTTTTATGTATTTTTCTACAAATGCTAACGAGCGTGGAGCCAGAGGACGAGGCGCAGTGCGCATCGGTAATGCGGATCTTTGTGTGTATTGGCTGTTTTTGCGCGATGGAGGCAAGAGGACTAATTAGAGATTCGGCCGATACTCGATCGGTCTTCCGGGTCCCCCGTGGCTTCATCGTTGTTTTTTTTTTTTTTTTTTTTTTTTTCCCACCCATTGTTGTCATTCGCGCGTGCACTCGGTCCGTTGTCCGAGTCAAAAAAAAAAAAAAAAAAAAAAATAGGAGCCTCGTGTTCTTTGTTCTGGCTGGTTGGTCCAGGTAAAATATCTGCTCAGTAGCGATTCCGAGGGTATTTATAAGTGTATCGAGCTGCACGCGTGATGGGGTTTCGGTCATTTCGGAGTCATGGTGTGTAGAGCTCACACCTATCTTCTTTTCGACGGCGATGGGCAGGAATTTGCAGGTTTGATGGGTTCATCGATGGCGTGGTTTATATATTTGTACATACGCGTTGTCGTGGTTAGGGATGTATGCAGGTTGACAAATTAATCAATCAAGTAAGTATAGTCGAAAGATATTAATTCATTTTCAAGTTGCCATATTACAAGTGTCTATTTTTCGAAGTATGATGATGATTTTTTCAACGATGGCTTAAACATTTATAAACTTTTTTTATGTTTTATAATGTTGTTTGTTGAATCACGACGTTGCTGTGAGTTACTATTTTTATTAATTGTAATACAATTCTTGAAAATTAAAGTAATTGGATCAAGGATTCTTTTAATGACTTCAACACGTTGATTCTATCATTTTCTCTCTAGCTTACAGCAAAAATAAAGCATTGTTTTGTGAAAGAAAAAGTCATAAAAAAAAAAAATAGTTAAAATATTTGAAAGAGCATTTAAATGTTTCATGTTAAACACTTTACAATAAACATAAACAACTAAAACGTATTATATTATTCTGTCGAAATAAAATCTTGATTGTATGGTGAACAGTGATGAATAAAAAAATTTTTACTGCCAAAAAGAAAGCACTTTATTTACAGGAGGAAATTTGTTTTTCGAAGTGTTAAAAAATTCATTAAACAAATAAGGTAAATTTATTTAAACTGTGACATAAGAAACAATACGAGGCACTCGAGTAAATTGATTGAATCAAAGTGTAAACAAAAAAAACAAACGTAAAAAACCGTGTAAGCCGAAGGAAAAATCGTTCAAACCCAAGAGCACCTCTCGAAACAACCAACCAAAAGAGGTCCACTTCCATCCTCATCCAGCATCAGACTGATGACGGCCACTCGCCGAACCAACTCAGCCTCCCCCCCTCCATACATCAAAATCAAAACAACAAGATCAGACATATCGACATCGACTCCATAATGCGTACGTACTTTCACTTTTTTTCGGTACCCAAATTGGCGGGCTAAATTAGTTTCTTTTTCCCTCTTTCGTTTCACAAGCCCAAAACATTTGAATGCCACTTGCACAACCCGCGTCCCACTTGATGTATCACAAAATTGCAAATTGCTCGAAGCATAGTTGCACAGCTTCGAAGCACATACGACAAAGCCAATCGCTCCAACTTGCCGTGACAGCTCCCATCATCGCGTCTCTATTCTGCAGCGCACCTCGTGCGTCCTTTCACCGTGTGTGCTATTAACAAAGTGTATTACCTCTACGCTATGACCTTACAAGCCGTGTCCTCCACAATAATACAATCGACCTACACTATGCGAACAAGACAAATACACCCAAAGCTGTCCTCGACCTCTTGCCTAAACACTTTGTTTCCCCCTGTCGGGAGGGGGTGACTTTCATCCAGGTTCACTGGTCCAAAAACTTTGTATAAAAAGGCTCCTCGAATCCCAGCTTGGATACAGTTCTCCTCAATTCTCGAGTCAGCACAGCAATACCAGCCACCAGCACCATGTACAAGTACGCCGTTCTCGTAGCCAGCCTTTTGGTCGCGGTCAACGCGGGGCTCCTCACCAACGGTCCGGCTCTCGCCACGTACGCCGCGTCACCCGTGGCCTACGCCCCGGTGCTCAAGGCTGCCCCAGCTCTGGCCTACACCAGCTACGCCCCGGCCGCCCCTGTGCTCAAGGCCGCCCCAGCTCTGGCCTACACCAGCTACGCCCCGGCCACCCCTGTGCTCAAGGCTGCCCCAGCTCTGGCCTACACCAGCTACGCCCCGGCCGCCCCGGTGCTTAAGGCTGCCCCAGCTCTGGCCTACACCAGCTACGCCGCGCCCGTCCACCACGTCAAGGCTTACGGTGTCCATCCTGCCCCTCTCGCCTACGCTGCTGCCCCCGTCGTCAAGGCTTGGTAAAGGCGTCTCTCTGTAGATAGATCACGATTTTCAAAGTGACGAGTCTCGATATCGCTGGACATCGGCGATCGGAGCTCGTACATATAGTATAAATAATAGTATCGATCATGTAGCCACATTGTTTCCGAGATTTTTCCTTTGTTCACCGTCATGATTATTGTATTTTATCAGCCACTGTTGTTTTTTTCCCTCCAATAAACTATTACGATTATTTCATGAAAATTGTTTAATTTTGTTTTACTGCTCCTATTGAAAATTACCCATCCCAAGGGTTGGCTTTGAAAAAGTGTACAACAGCCACGTAAACAGAAAAGAGGTGGTGTGTACAAGAGGTAATTTTTTTTTTCTCTTATACGTGTAATGTCATCTCCGTCGTGCGCATCGATGGGTATTTACACCACCTTAACTTGTCTCCCTTCGATTCTCCCGTGTCGGTTTTTCTCCGCACGAGGCGCGAAAGCGAGAAACACCCAACCACCTTGCGCTGTCAAATAGAATTTGCCGCAAGCGAATTTCCGAGAAAGAGAGGAGAACAGAGTTGGAAAATGGAAGAAAAAAGAAAAATCAAAGAGAAAAAGAAACTGCATCCCCCTCTCCCATGCCACGGAGAATATTTGTCCCAGGTGTATACGCGTGCCATGTGCGAACGTTGCTTGCACATACTCGTAAGTATACATGAAAACTCGACGCTTTTTTTTTTCGTTAACTGGATCTTTTCTCTATTCTTCTTTGGTATTTTTCTATTTTCTTTCCCATCACCTGTTTTATTCAATTTTCCTCAAAATATGTCAACTCTCGTACCTTTACCTTCTACCTATGATTGTATAATTGACGAGAGGAGTGGTCAGTGAAACTAAGACACACGTATTTAGGTATACAAACGATATAGGACTACCGGAGTTTGTTGAATTTCAGGCACGTATTTTGGCCAAACGTCTCGGGAATATATTCTCGAAAGTTAATCGCCTTTTTTTCCTCTCTCTCTCTCTCTCTTTCTCTCTTGGCAATTAGAAGCTGCGAAAAAAGCCGAGCTGCCAGGCGGGAAGGAAGACCGATAGGAAAAACAAGGAACAGTAGGACAGAGAAAAAGGAGAAACATATAGAGAGTTACACGGAGTTCAGCCAAGGTATACGTATATGTCCCGAATCTATTTGGTACGAAAGTGGAGTGCCCGACTGAAGGATTTATATCAACTCCATTGAGAAAAGTGTTTTTTTCTATACTTGACGCGTGTGGCTCACATACGTGGCGAGTCGTTGTTAACTTCATTACGAGAGACATCAAACCCCGCAAGCCAATGAAAAAAAAAAAAAAAAAAAAAAAGAGCTGTGATATTTTGTTTAGCCGAATAAAGAGAAACATTGAGTTTGCATATACGCACGTCTTCGACTTGCAAGATGTAGATTTTATACTTGCGAGTCGAAGGAAGAGGGAAGGGACAGAAAAGAAAAAGGCAACTGCAGCCGGTGGGAGGAGGGAGAGAAAAAACAAAAGGAGAGCCGAGAGCAGCCGAAAACACGGCGTCCGAAATAAAATAAAAGTCAGGGGGTCATAAATTCCCCCGAGGGGAGTTAGCGCGTCCGTCGCTCTTTCTCCTTCTCATTCGCGTAAAAAAGCAGTAGGGGGAGAGGGGGGACAAGACTGCTGGAATCCACGAGGCTTTAAAAGAATTTTACAGCCTCTATGTAGCCCTCGGGCTCTCTCCCTCTGCATTACCGGAAAAGTCTATGACTTACACGCGTGCGTTGTATGTGTATAACGAGCAGCTGCCCGCATATTTGCCCCCTTGGCGCATGAGGATGTAGCTCGGCTTTTATCGAGATGATTTCACGCGGTGGGCGCTCTTATCCTTGCTGTCAATCGATTTTTCTCTTTTCGATTTCAAGACGACGACGGGAAAAACGAGTTGTGTCCGAGGAAATGGAGCTCCTTGAGCTGAGAAACATTGAAATTTATTTCCAGCTCGTTTGTCACCTGCGTCTGCCGGAAAAAAAAAGTCGATAGAAAAGGGGAGACGCTCCGGATGAAGCGATGTGTTTTTAGGGACGCAAGGAATGCGAAAGATGACGATCACAGTGGCTCGGAATTTTTCGATTTCTGTTTGGTATTCATCACCTGCAGCCTCGAGATTGTAATCGCGATTATGGTGATTAAATGGATGAGGGTTTCACGGAACTTGGGAAAAAAATAAACACAATCCATCAGCGTCTGTTTACTTTGGCTTTTTAATGACGAATAATGTTAAACAATTACAGTGAACCTACGTACGACATTGGGCCAATCTATAAGTGTAAGATTCAATGAAAGGTATACACGTCACGTAAATATAAATTCCTTGGTCAAAGAACGAGTTGTGTACACAGTAATTTCATCCAAAAGGTCAAGTATCACTTTGCAAAATTGTCGCTCGTGGAAATAAATAATACTTGCATCATACTTGATTGCTCGTCTATGAAGACTTGTGAAAAAGTAGTAACTATCCGAATTAGTTCTTGTTAATTTTTTTTGTCTCAAGTCATGCTTTTTAGACACTCACACGTTTATCATTGCAGCAATCGCAACACAATAAACAACCCATCAACTATATTCCAGAAGCACCTACTCTAGCATCTAAAACAGCTCTGAAACTCCAAAGGAACCAACAAACAAACAAACAATCGCCGGAGAGGCCGAGCCTCACTCGAAAAGCCAAGATCCTTTCGAGAGCCCGACCGACGCTTGGGAGCTGCAGGGGTGCAATTAAATAGGATCCCCGCCAATAGTTTTGTTTGCCGAGGGCGTGTGGAATCCAAAGAGAAGGAGGAGGAGCACTGAGATCGCTTCATTACTCCTCGGCGTGAATGTGAGAGCGATTTATTTTCCCTTTCTCTCACCCCGATGTGGGTGTCGGATGGATAAAAAAAAAAAAGAAGAGGGAGATTGGCCGATCAGCCGTCGCGATTTTAAAGCAATTCGCCCCCTCGAGTGCAGTGGTGGATCTTACTTTCTCACGCGAGCTATCGCGTTTTTTTTTTTTTTTTTTTGTTTGTCTTCACTCCGCGTGGCACTATGTACGTTTAGATCGATTCGCGCGACTCGGGCGAGAGCACTTTAAGAGTTGGCACGAGGCTCCTTTATTTTTAGGGCGAAACTGTGCTGTATAACATAGAGACGATTGCACCGCATGCCCAATATATAGTGTACACGTAGGAGGAGACACGCGAGAAGGAGGGTTGGCACGTGTACATTTGTAAGGGGTTTCCTTTTATTCGGTGTCGTGCAGTGCTTCCTTTTTACGACACGAGGATTATTTGCGTTTCGTTCCGAGGGCAAATTTCTCCCGAGTCCGGGTTGAGTAATTTTTCCGAGACAATTTTAATATTATTAGGGTATCGTGTGCTAAAATAAAAAAAAAAAAATAAAAAAAAAAAGGATTAATATAACACACTGTTGAGCTTAGCGCGCGAGAAAGCCAGGTCGAAATTCAGGAGCGGGCTGAAAGATTCATGCCTGGCGGAAAAAGAGGGCTTACTCCCCGCACGTTTTTTGGGGGAGGGGGAACACTTCATTTTATTATTCCCTGATTTATTTTAACGGTACTTTTCAGAAAAAATAATATCCATCCCCCAACCAAGTGCCGAGCCCGTTAAAGTGGGCGTTTGTACCTATATGTATACATGCTCTACGCGAAGGAGCCTTTTGTAAAAAATTTTTCCCCGGCAATCATATATTTTCTCGTAATTTATGAAACGAGGTACATATAGTATCACGTAATACACGAGCCCGCGAATAATCCTCAGATGGGAAAAAAGAAGCTCCATCCACGACGACGAGTCACCTCTTCTGGTGCGTACAAAAAAAAAAAAAAAAATGAAATCGAAATAGTCTCCAGAGCGAGGAAAAGAGCTCATACGCGCGCGCGCACTCGTAAATTAAAAGCTCGCATATATATATATATATATATATATATACACGTATACATGTATATGCGGACACCCGCGCGCGCGAGCTAATCTCTCCTGAGCTTCATTACTCCGAGCGCACTTATTCTTACGCTTTTTCTCCGCATCGACCCTCTTTTTTTTTTTTTATCCTTTCCTGCTCTGGCCTTTTTCCGTCCTCCCCCTCCCCCGCCTCACCCTTACTCGGCTTTTTACCTCTTCCGCGGGCTCTTCGAGGGCTTAGTTTTAATTAACAGCCCAGGAAACGCTCGCAGAACGAGCGATTAGGGTCGTCGGGCTTATTTCGGAATTGAGATTCGGAGGATGGAGCCGCCTCTTTCGTACTTTCTTTCGGATTTCACCTCCCCACCGTCTACTCTCGCTCGAGGAGTAGGTGCAGCTTGTCAACTTATTCCTGAAATTTTGCACTTTGTGGCGCATTCGTTAAAAGTCATCTTAGAGGGGGGCATCGGTCGAATTGGAAAAACCTTACCCCGAGCCGTTTAATATCATTTGAGCGTGATACAAGTATATTTTTCTAAGGAGCCCCTGAATTGTCCTTGTATCTTTGATTGCGACTGCGAAAACCCAACCGAATGAATTTTCAATCGACCAACTATATAATATATACTTGTGTTGCACCCATCCGATTTGTCGTCAAGCACTCGTAAAACCAAAAATCGTTGGCCCGAGGAATAACCAACCAGAAATACGTACGCGTATGAATCCTCCGATAATGACATTGCCGTGACAAATGCAATCAGCGAACGGCTTCAAAGAAGTAAAAGAACCCAAGGAAAAGCCGTAGGGGGTCGGGGAACAATGGGACGTGGGGGTAACAGTTGAGCCGGCGATCGGGTCTTAATTAAGATGCCACGCATTCGGTATGAAAAAAAAAAAAGAACAAGCACGCGGGGGAGTTTTATTCAAGACCCCATACGCGCGCGTGTATATATACTTGGATCGCGGATAAAAATCCTTCCTTTCGCGACGCTACGTTCGCCCGCCGCGTCTTGGGTGGTCCGTGACTTCGCGGAAACGTATTGCAACGCCGGCCCATCCGTGCACACCGTAACGAT